GCCAACAGTCGTGGATCCGAGCATCTCATCAATGGTCAACGCTACGATGTCGAAATGCACATTGTTCATAAGAATGCTCGTTATGCCACGCTAGCCGAAGCAAGTTTGCGTCCAGATGGTCTTGCCGCTTTGACAGTCATGTTTCAGGCTGTACCTTCACTGATCTCGACGCAGTTTGGCCTTAACCGAATCTTAGATCGATTACCTCAAGTTATTAGATACCAATCTAGTACGATGATAGCTGGGCAATTAACGATGAACGATCTGTTGGGACGAATTCCTACTGGAAGGTTTTACGCATATTCTGGTATGTATTCAACACAGATATTTCACTCTCACTATTATGCACATATATTTATATATTCTATATTGTAAAACAGGCTCCATGACTATGCCTGAATGCGCCGAATCTGTTAGTTGGATTGTGTTCTTAGATTCTGTGAAACTACCTAGACGACAGATCGCCAAATTTTGGGATTTGCTAGACCAACGCAGGCATCCTTTGATAAACAACTACCGTAGTCTGCAGGCAATAAATGGAAGGCCAATCTTCCAGAGAACTCTGATATAAGTTTTATAACGAATTTCATTTTACAACGACTACTACTGACAAAAAAAAAATAATAATAACAGAAGAAAAAATAACATACAAAAAATACCAACCAAATAAACTTGACATATGCAGACACAAATTCGCAGTTGAGTTTCACTTATTTCTCATGTTTTCTTAGCAGATCCCATTTAATTCACATACGTATTCATTTAGACAAGTCGGTACGGATTTTGAACTGAATTGTGTACTTCGACATGAAATGATTGGAATGGAATGTCTGGCACACAGCAATCAATATTATTATATATATAAAATATATTATATATAAGATATAATATAATGTAGGACTGATTATGTCCTGTTTATTAATAATATAAAAGTTGTAAGTCTATTATAGTGAAAGATGCGTATTGGATGTACAAAGCAATGACCGACTTTAAAAACCAACGACTTATTTCTCGACGCACCGACAACTTTCCCACTTTAGGTACTCGGGACTTTGATGACCCTGAGCTTCACGAACTCGACTGTCTCGTTCTGCTGTTCTTCTATGACTCTTCCTCTAAGATGAATGCTTATGCTGCTAATAGGTCTGTTAACCAGCGTTGCCACCCAACAGCACTGCAATCTACTGTAACTTCGCGTTACATTCGGTCATCTTGATCATCGAAGTCCTCGTATGCATTTTCATATCTTGAGCAGCTTTTTTGACCTCATATCGACCGTTGCGCTAGTCTTAATTTTATATGGACAAAGAAATGTACTAGCGAGCTCCCTTCCTTCAAAAAGTTAAGTGCTAAGCCGTCTTTGTCATAATTCGTCTTGTACTTCCGCTGAGTCTGCTCGATTTGCCACTTGTTCTTAATTTGCTCACTTTCGACAATAAGACTGAGAGAATTCGCAGTATGGATCACTCAGAATATGGGCCTTGCCCACGAAACATCCGGTCCACTAGCAACCGTGGCTTTCTACACAGATGGCACAAAGCTCGGAAATCACGTTGGAGTTTGGGTATAAATATAATTTGGGTATAAAGATGATTTCTGACTGAAGCAAAGCGGGAGGGATTTGGCCAGTCTTGAGAGCTTTTTGGAAAATTGCATTTAGTCAATTTGTGGCTGTTGCGCCCGCATTTTGTAATTGGGCTGAACTTATGTTGTCAAGGCCTTGGGATTTAATCGTCTTGAATCTGTTTATTGTCCATTTTAAATTTTCTTTGCGTAGAAAAGGTTTCATTTATGTTCATTCATACCTGGTCTAAACTTGTGGGACAATTGGGATGGGGCTGAGCTGAGGCCATCAGGCGGGTCGCAGATGCGGATAGTGAGCGGCCTCCCCCCGAGGAGGTTAGCTGCGAATAATACGAGATTAATCGTAAATAAACAGTCCCGGATAAACAGCGTGTGCGATATTGTCAATCGTACCGACACTTCGTACCGGCGCTTGTGTTGCAGCCTTTTGAAGCATAGCCTTACACAACCGCCTATTTCCCCACACTACTACCTATCCCCATCCTGTCCCCGCACCTTACCTCACTCCGGGCCGGACTAAGACGTTACCTGAACCGTGCCGAGAGTCAGCTTGGCTGGGGGCCCGGGCTAAAAACTAGCCCTAGCCACTAATGGTGGGCTCAGGCAAATGTCGACCGCCTGTTCTAAATAGCCATACCCGGGAAACGCGGATCTCTGCCCGAGCAGATCGTGAGAACAACATGAATCGTTCTGAATACACAAAATTACCGCAGGATCTCCCTGCGGAGAATATCGCAAGACATTTAGAGGATCAAGTCCTTGACAGAGAGAGATCCTCTCATGTGGTAGACCATGCATCACACCGTACTGTTCCAGCACCAAATAGGAGAATGCCCCAAGCACCGCAAGCTCCGGCTTCGAGGCGTGCGAGAGTGGTAGTTGGACCATCCCGACAACCACGCCCAGCACCGAGCGCTGCGAGGTAAGGCGCACAGCGCCCAAAAAAGGAGGTTGAGTTCCTGCCACCGAGGGGTCAACCCGGTGGATGACCTGATCCGGCGGAACCTCTACGGTTCCAGGGTCAAGTGATACCTACGGTACCTCCAGTAAGGACTTGCTCCTGTTCAAGCCCTGAAAAGTCCACAGATCCCAGGGAAGCGTCTACAGCACCAACGCCAGCTCCAAAGCGGCGCAGCAGCATACACCACCGCTGGCCACCCCCAAGAGGATAATTGTCCGGTAGGGAAAAATACATGACAGCCTGGAAAGGTTGCGCATTACCACACATCACATCTTTAAAAGAATATGGGAACAATATCGTGAAAGTCTGACATCCAATAATAAGGTAATCTGAAAGGCCAAACGGAAGAATTATAGAAACTTCTGCGAAAGCATAGTAAGCACAAGTGAAGGCGCCAGGCTCCATAGAGTACTGGCGAAACGAACGCCTGATGAAAACTTAGCACTGAAGCGTAAGGATAACTCCTTTACAAGCAGTAATGTGCAGAAATTAGAACTGCTTTTCGAAATTCACTTCCCAGGTACGCCCCTGCAGGAAGCTGCTATCGAAAGAGAGAGTAGATACAGATTGGGCATGCGCCAAGTCGACAGTCACAAGGGAGCGCTTAAATTGGGCAATTGGTACATTCCAGCCCTAAAAATCTCCCGGAATGGACGAAATATCGCCAGCTTTCTTTCAAACAGACTAGGACGTACTCCTCTCCCTTATTAGGAAAGCACTAGTAAGCAGCCTAGCCCTCGGACATATAGCGGGCGCATGGAGGAGAGCTAGGGTAGTCTTCATCCCCAAAGCAGGGAAGTAAGATATTACCGACCCAAAGTCCTTCAGACCCATCAGCTTATGCTGCGGTCCAGACAAGCCACGGCATCATTACACAATAGCACTGTAACCTAACCACTAAAGGCGGTTCCCAAGTGGGAGTATTATCTCCGCCACTCTGGAGCCTGTTTGTAGACGAACTACTTAACAGACTTGCAAACAGTGGTATTCGATGTCAAGGTTATGCCGATGACATTGTTATTATAGCGAAAGGTAAATTTGAAGAATAGCTCTGTGACATAGTCCAGTCATGGCTGAGAATAACGAGTGACTGGTGTAATGAGGTTGGACTCAACCTAAACCCTACGAAAACAGTCACCGTCCGCTTTACTAGACGACATAAATTACAGGATATTGACAGGACACTGTAGACTAAGAAGTTGCCTATTGGGTATATTTAGTAGCGATCTGTGCAGTATTTGTGAGAGAGAGATGGATTCCTCGATGCACATCCTAGCAGAATGTGTCGCCTTAACTAGAAGAAGATGCAGCCACCTAGGGATGCATCTTACGCATTTTAGAGGCATAGAAGACCTCAACCCAACAACGATCCTCACATTCGTGCGGGAGCCAGGGCTGATGGAAGAGCTATAGGCTCAGAATGGGGCACAATAGATAGAGAAGGTCGCGGTACAATTCGTAGCGTACTCAAAACAAATTGCATTGAAGCGAATAAATGAACGCAGAATAACAATCAGTGTAGATTACAATGTATACGCAATTTAATTGAGCAGCTGCGGTTTACTTTTCTATAATTAAGGAATTACAATATGAATTAAACAAAACCCAGTGTCAGTCTTTTATTTCATTCCGCAAAACCCAATTAAAAACAAAATTAAATATATGTATATATATATATATATACTCACTCATCTCTTATACTTAAATATTCACTGCCAATTCTTTTTAGGGCGAAAGTGATCAGAGGAGGGAAAACAATGAATTTTACAAGATTTGTATACAGCAGTTGAAGATTGTACATTGAAAGTTGAATTTTCATGGCATAATACATTTTTGCACAGCGGTACTTGTTAATATTAAATTTTTAATTAATTTTATTGATTTACTTCGATTATTTTAGGCTTAATAATAATTATATAAATAATGGCTAAACCAATTGAAGAAACCATTTTCCAAGTGCAGTCAGCTGGAACAAGATTTTACAGCTCTTCTCACCTTCTTTTATTGGAAAGAAGTTTGATGAACCAGTGTCAAGGGCACTAATGCAGCTGACTGAGGCAGTAATGAGGACAAAATTCAAATATATCGAACACGTTGCAACCTCTATACAAATTATACTTGGACTGTGTACTCGGATTCTGTGAAACTACCTAGACGACAGATCACCAAATTTTGGAATTTGCTAGACGAACGCAGTCTTCCTTTGATAAACAACTACCGTCATCCGCAGGAAATAAATGGAAGCCCAATCTTCCAGCGAAAACTGACATACATTTAAAAACGGATTTCATTGAATATACATAAGATTCGACTACTACTACTGACAAAAAAAAAATAGCAGAAAAAAACAAACAAAAAATACCAACCAAATAAATTTGACATATGCAGCTAAAAATTCGAAATTGAGTTTAACATATTTTTTATTTGTTTCTTAGCAAAACCCAATTAAACATACATATTCATTTAGATAAGTCGGTACAGATTTCGAAATGAATGGTGTACTTGGAAATTTTGCAAGGTTAAGCCATTTTAACTACGATCAAAACGGAAAGGACTGGAATGTAAACACTGGCAGACAACAAACGCCTGTTTCTCTAGTTACAGCCAAGTAAGTGCTTCACACAATATTTACCTGGTTTAAATTGCATAAGTAATTTAAATATTAGGCGGTCAGGTCAACGGCGTCAGAGTTAATCTTCATTAACTACAACAAGGTCTTGTCCCGTTTCCTAAAACTAACCAACAATGGGCATACCCTGAAGATGTCAATACCCTGCGCAGAAGACTGTAGTCAACCAGCGGTTTGCGGATGTAAGCTCAAAAGTATCTACAAGGCTGTGCAGCTTCATTTTCATTGGGGTTCGCCAGAGAAGAAGGGATCTGAACATTCGATAAACTGCACGCGATATGATGCTGAACTGCATATTCTTCATCAAGGAGAATGCTGTGTGCTCTCCCAGATGGGTTTGCTGTACTGGCAAAGATGAGAAATCTATTTTTCGAATCTGCTATAGATAATTAATTTGAACAGTTGAAAAGTGTTTTGATTTCTGAGCTTAAGCGTACATTGAGATGTGCCGATATACAGTCGAAGCTTTAAGAGAGAAATAAGAAATAAGACTAGTATTTTTAAGAAGTGTGTGAGTGAAATGCCAAACAAACAATACAATGGTGGCAGGAAATATATGTCGGGTTCAAAAAGTTGTCTTTGCTTTAATTGTGGCTACGCTGATCATATGAAGAAGGATTGTACAGCACAAACAAAATGTTTTAAATGTGAAGGCGTGGGACATATATCCAAAAATTGTCCACAAACAATGCAAAGTGAGCAAGTGGTGAAAGACGAGCAAGTGGTGAAATACATTAAGCGAGTCAAATTGGCGTAGTTGAACGGAGTTACGATTGGGTGGCTTGTTGATTCGGAGTCATATGTGACCATTTTGCGTCCCTCCGGTTTGCATGGCCTCGGAAATAGCAAAACGCAGCCGCTAGGTACATTTGTTGGCAACGTACGTGTTGATGGAATCCAAGTACAAAGATTCCTAGTAGTGCCGAATAACACAATCGAAAGCGACGCCTTATGGGGTTTTGACTTCGGATCAAAATTTCGCGTCACACTGAATGAGAAGTGATTCACATTTACGAAAGCAACAGCGCAGGTGGGCATCCCTGAAACAAATGAGCTAGTTTAGGTTAGGTTACGTTCAACGGTCGCCGATCAAGGTCCACACTCTTATGTCATTTTTGACCCGTTGTGACACCATGTGGATCTCATTTCCTTTCTAATGCCATCGTGTGTGCAAGAATCAGGAGGTAAACCAGCCGGTTGCACTTATAAATTTCGCAATTGTGGCTGGTCCCACATTGCCCAACCGTGTTACGCTTGATAAGAAGTAACTTCCCAGTACGGCGCATATTTTCCTCGCAAATGCAGAAGCATAGAAACTGTTCCGGAGATTGTACCTCCTCTTCATATCTGCAGCTTGTCCAAAAATTATTGTAGGGTGCTTTGAGCCTATTGGCATGAATACCCACTAACCAGTTGTCGGTATACATATACATTCCTCATCAGAGAAGAGGGGTAATAGAGTGCCTTTTCTGGCTAGCTCATCAGCTTTGCAGTTGCCTTTTATATTCCGGTGACTTGCACCCAGATTAGGCTAATAACATGCGGATTTGTCAACTTGTGTAGAGACTTGCGACAGCTTGTTACGAAAGTCGAGTTTGATGACATTGAGCTGATAGATTTGATTGTATATATTTAAGTTACAAGAACTAGTTTTGGACCTTTTTAAGCAATCCAGTGATTTTTTATGACTATTACTTCTACCCGGAAAACACTGCAGTGTTTCGGAAGGCTGAAGGATAACTGGATGTTAAGCGGTGAGCCATCTGTGTCGAAAGCCACGGTTTCTGGTGGACCGGGTGTTCCGTGGGTCGGTTCCTCCCTCAAGAGAAATGCACTAAAGGAACACATCGGTCCGTTTTTGTAGGAATTGCATTTCTCACTAGAATATAGGCAAGACCCATACTGTGGATACTATAACCCCATATAAGAGAATGGGTCTGATGATTGACAGGTACATCCATCGGCCAATTTTAGGCGACATACCCCACTTAGGTGCAATGGCTTCCATGGATGTATATAGAGCGACTGTAGCTGGTTGGCACTGTTACGGAAGGGAAAATTTGTGTTGTTTAGTCTGGGTGAGACTAGAGTGGGAATTTTGTATTTCCCTGAGAAGAGAACTTCTTCTGTTTTCGTGGGATTAACGCTTAATCCGAAATTACTTGCCCACGATTACAGTATTTTTAGTTTACTCGTCATTAGGTGACATCATCGGCATACACGACAATCTGACAGTTCCCCCTCCATGTCCCGCAGCAGTCTATTGACAGCTATGTTAGAGCTAAGAGGGGTGAAAGGATGCCCTCTTATGGCGTTCCTCTGCTGACGTATCTGAAGAGAGTTGACGATCCAAGTATGGACTTCAGTGCGAAGTGCAACTGAGCAATTGATTGATCAGTCCCACTAAAACGGCGTCAACTTTCAGATCCAGCAGGCCTCCAGTTATCGCATTTGGGATAACATTGTTAAAGGCACCCTCTATATAAAAAAAAAAAAATTCCTTGAAGTGTAAGGGCGTCTATATACTACCATATTAATAAACGATTTTCATCCCTGTTTCTCAACATGTCCGTAAAGTTGATCAAGGTAAAGTCATATATTCCTTGCGAATAGGAAATATTGTTATTGTTATGGGTAATCGAATTGAATTGATAAATGGAAATGTTGAGCTGCTTATGGTATTCGAAAACTTCTATTTTGAAGTCTCTATCTGTATTGAAACACATATTTAAGTATAAATGACTCTAGCTCCAAAATTTACAGATATATAAACTAACTCAATATTTGGGGGGTGGGTGTAAAAAGCATTTATGCTCTATGAAGAGAAACGCCCTTCAAGAAATGTGGACAGTAAATGATTTTCCAAAAGCAGATATGTCGCCAAGCGACGGTGCTCAATGAACAGTTTTTTAAAGACCTATTAGGGTAATAAATTAAGTCATGTGTTTATAAATAAAGGTCGTAGCTAGTAGGTGATGAATAATAATAATCAACTTATAGACATGTTTTATTAACTGTTTACATAAAATTGAAGTGTCATCAGGTGGGCTGATGTGTGCAAGTTTTCTCAGAGTTTTTATACCGTAAACCCAATAAAAATTGATAAAAAAAAATGGGTAAAATTAAGTTGTACAAACTTATGGAACTTGAAGAAGAAATAATGTTCGACTCTATAAGGTATATATATTCTGGATTTGAAACCTACAGACTTCAAATTTGGAATAGATGTTCTTAAATAACTGCTTGAACACTGGTACACACACATACATAGACCTAAGTTACGGCATCGGCCAGTATAATGTTCCCCTACGAAGTTTTCGTTCTGTAATGGTCTTTTCGGGACAATTAATTTCAGATCCGGAATTTGGGTTTTGATGGAATTTTAATTTAAAACATACGGTCCCTGTTCCGCTTCCAATTCTGGTTTGACACACTGAAAATATTAATCTGCAGTGAGTTAAAAGATAATATTAACCTGGAGTGAGTTAAAAAATTATTCCGCTATTCAATATCTTATTTGTATACTTATGTCAGCAGATTTATGGTTTTCACAAGTAACGCTAATAGACTTGAAATCTTAATAAATATAATTTAAACAACAAACGGGCAAAAAAATATTGAACTGAAGTAAATATAGCAAACTGGATACCGGAAACTATCGGCAAACAATAAAAATCAAGAATTGTAGACGAAATAGATTATACACAATAAGTAGTCCGACATTGAAATGTAAGAAATACTTTACCACACATTGCTGGTGCGATGGCTCGAGATTGCTTTCCTATATAGTATATAATTTAGCTAAATCAGTAGTCTAATTTTAATAATTTATGTCAGAATTCTAGGAGAATAAATCTTGGTAAAAAAATGTTTGTCTTAATTTTCATAATGATAAACTATACAAATAAAACATGCATTTTCACCTTGAGATTTTATTTAGGAACATGGAAAGAAGCCGCTGTGGCTTGCTTAAGATAGTCTATCTCACAACTCATTTGATTTAATAGCCTATAGTTAAAAACGCGATTGGAGGGTTATGAATAGTTATATTCTCTTTCACTATTTATCTTTTCTTCCTTTCTCTCTCTCCCTCTCTTATCTTTTTATTTTCGTTATTACTATATATACTCACGGCGAGATCTACCGTATTATTGAGATATACCAGACGCATTCAGAGTATTTTCTAATAATAAACAATTTTAATATGCATTAAACACAAGCCACACTGTTAACCTTTAAAATCATTTCGCAGAAGCAAGTTAAAAACAAAAATATGTATTACTATCATAAGAGCTGGAAAGGTAATACGTTCACAGCCGACTCCTTTTAGGACGAAAGTGATCAGAGGAGAAAATTCGAAAAAATATTCGAGAAACCTTTTTGACAATTGTTTTTTTTTTTTTTTTGTTGGAAGCTGCTTCAAATCTATTTTAAACGATTTGTGTAAGAAATTATTTAAAAAAGCATTCAATTTTGTAAATAGCTGTTGAAGATTGTACATTGAAAGTTGAATTTTCATGGCATAATACATTTTTGCACAGCGGTACTTGTGCAACTGATAATATTAAATTTTTAATTTATTTTATTGATTTACTTCGATTATTTTAGGATGCAAAGTGTGTATACATATATGCAAGTGTAATTAACCATTAATAATAATTATATAAATAATGGCTAAATCAATTGTAAGAAAACTTTTCCACGTGCACTCAGCTAGAGCCAGATTTTACAGCTCTTTTTATCTTTCTTTTATTGGAAATTAGTTTGATTCACCAGTGTCAGGGGCACTAATGTCGCTAACTGAGGCAGTGATGAGGACAAAATTCAAACATGTCGAACACGTTGCAATCTCTATGCAAATTTGCAACCGGGTTTGAGGAGAGCAAGCAAGAAACGGCATTCTTATCTTTGAAGAAGCTCCAGCCAAGCAGTCTCTGCGCCTATAAATTGCTGCGTCCCATTGCACAATTACTGCAGTCTTCCTGCAAGGGTTATTCAGTGCAAATCGTCAGAAATTAACTTTAACTTCTACATACACATCAATACAGAAAATGTGTATCTTAAGCCGTCGGGGACTTGTAATCTTGCTGCAGTTCTTACTGTTGGCAGCCAAACAGGCGAGTGGACAATTCAACTACGACCAACAAGGCAGGGATTGGGAGGGAACATGCGCAACTGGCCGAAGTCAATCTCCAATTAGATTGGCGGACAATACTGTGAGTAGCATAAGCCTTCACAACTCTGGACGATTTTTAGAAAATTTACCTTTTCACAGGCTATTCGCAAACCCATTCCGCAAATTCGATTCACGAACTACAATCGGGCCTTGCAGTCACCGCTGATGATGACAAACAATGGACATACAGGTATGCAGTAATTTTGATTTATCTGTGCCTTAATTACAGTATTAAAGTGTACTTCAGCGAACATTGTTTTGCCGCCCACAAATAACGGACAGCGTGCTTTAATCGAGGGCGGCCTGTTGCCAGGCACCTTTGAAGCGCAGACCGTGCACTTCCATTGGGGCTCGGAAAACAGTCATGGATCCGAGCATCTCATCAATGGTCAACGCTACGACGTCGAAATGCACATTGTTCATAAGAATGTTCGTTATGCCACGGTAGCCGAAGCAAGTTTGCGTTCGGATGGTCTTGCCGTTTTGGGTGTCATGCTTCAGGCTGTACCTTCACTGATCTCGTCGCATTTTGGCCTTAACCGAATCTTAGATCGATTGCCTCAAGTTATTGAATACCAATCAAGTACAACGATAGCTGGCCGATTAACGATGAACGATCTATTGGGAGACATTTCTACTGGAAGGTTTTACTCATATAATGGTATGCATTCAACTAAGATTTTTCACTCCCACTATTATGCACATATATTTATATATTTTATATTGTGAAACAGGCTCACTGACTACGCCTGACTGCGCCGAATCTGTTACTTGGACTGTGTTCTCGGACTCTGTGAAACTACCTAGACCACAGATCGCCAAATTTTGGGATTTGCCAGACGAACGCAGTCTTCCTTTGATAAACAACTACCGTCATCCGCAGGAAATAAATGGAAGGCCAATCTTTCAGCGAACTCTGATATAAATTTTTAAACGGATTTCATTGAATATACATAAAATTCGACTACTACTACTGACAAAAAAAAAATAGCAGAAAAAAACAAACAAAAAATACCAACCAAATAAATTTGACATATGCAGCTAAAAATTTGAAATTGAGTTTCACATATTTTTTATTTGTTTCTTAGCAAAACCCAATTAAAACCACATACATATTTATTTAGATAAGTCGGTACAGATTTCGAAATGAATGGTGTGCTTGGAAATTTTGCAAGGTTAAGCCATTTTAACTACGATCAAAACGGAAAGGACTGGAATGTAAACACTGGCAGACAACAAACGCCTGTTTCTCTAGTTACAGCCAAGTAAGTGCTTCACACAATATTTACCTTGTTTAAATTGCATAAGTAATTTAAATATTAGGCGGTCAGGTCAACGGCGTCAGAGTTAATCTTCATTAACTACAACAAGCTCTTGTCCCGTTTCCTAAAACTAACCAACAATGGGCATACCCTGAAGATGTCAATACCCTGCGCAGAAGACTGTAGTCAACCAGCGGTTTGCGGATGTAAGCTCAAAAGTATCTACAAGGCTGTGCAGCTTCATTTTCATTGGGGTTCGCCAGAGAAGAAGGGGTCTGAACATTCGATAAACTGCACGCGATATGATGCTGAACTGCATATTCTTCATTAAGGAGAATGCTGTGTGCTCCCCGGATGGGTTTGCTGTACTGGCAATAATGGTCAATATTGTTGAGATAAGTCTGTCTTCAATGTGTATATTTATTACTCCTAGTACTACTAGGTCTGTTTATGTTTATTGTAAATTATACGTACAGTCAAAGGCCTTGGTGTTCTTTTCGGGGCCTCAATTGATATCACTATAATTAATGGGACCCAGAATGAACTCCGATTCATAAAGTGCTGCAATTTTCACCATCAAACTTTTCTGTCTCTTCCGTCAGTAGTGATCATGAATACTGTTCATTTAATTTGTATTTTTCTTTTCTTTAATATTACGATTTAATCATTAATTTTAACCTTTTCTAGGCAAAAAAAATTTAAAATGGACAATAAACAGCTTCAAGCCGTTTAAGTCCCTAGGCTCTGACAATAGAAGTCCAGCCCAATTACAAAACCCGGGAGCAACAACCACAGCTTGTAAGCCATCACATATCAGCGCAAATGACTTTAGACCCATCAGTCTATCTGCTTTCATATGTTTTTCATATTAAAGCATCTAGAGTGACTCATAAGTCTACACCTAAATAATTCCATAGACCTGAACTTTATCTCTGGATCCCAACAGAATAGGCAGATCTACATATACGGCTCTCCAGTAGTTAATATAATGGAAACATCCGTGTACCCCACGTAGTATTTCTTTATGACTTCCCTAGACATCGAGGATGCCTTTAACAACGTTATCCCAGAAGCGATAACGGTCGCTCTGCTGGCCTGAAAGTTGACGCCAGTTTAGTGGTACTGATCAAATCTATTGCTTACTTGCGGGAGTGTGAAGTCCAGACTTTGATTGTCAACGCTCTGTAGCTACGTCGAAAGAGGAACGACCCAAGGGAGTGTCCAGTCACCCCTCCTATTGAACAAAGATGTTAACAGACTCCTGCTCGACATGGAGTGGGGACGACTGGCAGACTGTCGCGTATGCGGATGACGGCGCGGATATTTTCAGAGGAAACCACTTCCAAACTCTATGTGACCTAATGACAAGAAAACTAAAAATATTGTCATTATAGGCAAGTAATTTCGGGTTAGACGTAAACCCCACGAAAACAGAAATCGTAGAGGACTGTAAAGTTGTAAAGCCAAGAAAGGCACTCTATTGCCCCTCCTCACAGATAAGAAAGGTATACTCGTATCTATGCCTCTGGCTACCTGTAAGCTTAACATCAAAGAAGAAAACAATCTCAGGTCAAATGGCAAAATTGTAAACTTCTTGCACATTTTTGAAAAATGCTAAATATAATAGTGCAATGTTTTGTTTTTTTTTTATCCATTCGCCAGAATATAGTCAAGCGACTGGGACCAGTCAAAGAATTAGCTCTTCAAGAATGTGGCCGGTGTTTTTGCTGATATATCTCAGCACACAACGTGAATTATATTTATAGGGTCCCTAGAAGCGCTTATTGGGAATAGCACTAAGCACACAACAAAAGAAAACAGAATTGCAGTAGATTTTAAATAAATTGAATTAGATATCCTTGCCGTGAGCTTAACTTTCGATCAGTTTTGTGACTGTAAACTATATTTGTATGTATTTATGTGTGTTACCGTCGAGAAACAAAGAATTTTGTATGTGATACCCTGTTTTAGATTTGCACCACACATTTTACATTACAAAATTGGTCAACAGTTAAATCACCCCAGTTTACGAAAAGTTACATATAAAGCCCAAAAACTAATAAAATTGATAATCAAGTGGCAGCGCGCACACAAAAAGACAAGAATGCAGTGTTGCTGGTATCTTCGCATATATTAAAGAGTCTGTGCGATCTGGTAGGAAATTATGCTACTTCTTTCGCAGATATTCACAACCCATTAGACCCATTGGAAAAGGGTACCTATCATTAAAGGCGGGGTTTTTAATTTACCCGAAGTGAAGTGAAATAATGATCTGCCTTCTCTGGGTCGCCTGAGCCCACGGTCTCAGAAAAACCTGATGCACTTTTATGTCGATTTGACGCCTTTATGTGTTGGCTGCTTAGTGATCCAGGAAGAAGTGGAAGTGGAATACATTCTGGAATTTATTGAATTAGCTGTGAAGTTTTGGTTTTTCTTATACTTTGATTTTGCGAAATGTCATGCTGTCTGTCCGCCTGTTCGTCTGTGCGTCTGTATGAACGCAACTTTTTTCGACACTCTTAGAGATAGAGACTTGAAACTTGTAACATTTATTGGCCTGCGCCCGCGTTGGACGAAGTGTAAAAATCTGAGTGCTACGTCCACTTGGGGGCTAAGAAGTCGAAAAGATCGACAATTGCAAATTGATAAAGTCACATATCTCCCACAATTATAAGGCTGCACCACATTTGATTGGCAGTTTGCTGGCTATTTCATTCAAAGATTGGCATAAGCCACGCCCACCTACGCCGCCCCATATCCTCCAACCCTACATATTTTAAATTTCTATATCTTCCGCAGATTTTGAGTTAGAGCCAGCGAATTTGACAAAGCTGATATTTCGGAAAGTTTCAATCGATAAATCCGCATATAGACCAGGCATTCACCCGCCGCCCCAGGAACTTCAGCCGTAGAAATGCGCATACATTCTACATTTTGTAATCTAAAATCACACCCTCTCTGTTTTTTACTACTTGTTATCCGCTGGTATTACTTATGGTATCAAAGTATTTTCGACTGCATCGTTCTCTCTTGTTTTCGTTAAATTTTTTATTTGTATTTTTATGATATATATTATTTTTATTATTTATTTGATAATGGCACCTACGTTAAATGAAATGGTCTATGGGACAAATTTAGAAAAACAGTCGCTAGTAAGTGCAAAACCTCAGCTACTACTGCTTTACACAATGAAATATGTGACCAGCATGATTAACAGACAACAAACAACTAATGTGACTGAACAGCAGGTAGATAATAAGTTAAGTTAATTTAATGAGTAAAATCAGTTTGAAATTATGACGGAATATGGATTCCTTTTTATTTCATTATTAATTTTTCATTTTATTGGATTAAATTTATAAATAAAATTTTGAATTTTGCACTTTCATTTGTGTTTTTAGTCCACTTAAAAAAAAAAACATAAATAATTAAATAGTATATTCCTTTTCGACGACAAATTTTCAAATAGATTAGTAACAGTCACTAAAACACATACAGTTGACTCTCAAGTATCAACAATAAGTAACAACAACAATAAGATAACAACAAAATCGTTGGTTACTTAAGCCAGCGTATGGCCTCATTGCTGCTGATTACAAATTTGGCTTATTACTCAATCAACCGTCGAAAAGTTTGGTGCTCGAATACCGATTTCGCGCAGTGATCGTGCACTATAATACATTGGCTCCTTTATTATTTTATTTATTTATTTTTTTGTTTGTGGTCAATCTATTTTAAATATTGTAGCATTTAACCACATTTCGACGAGCAGGTGATAATGTTGCCGACAAGAGGTGGTTCCGGCCTTGTAATCGGTAGTTCGTCGGGGTTCTTTACAGTTCTTTGCGCGACGTGCTCACTATGCATAATACTAATTAAGCCATTATCGCGTGCGGTGGTATTTCGAACTAAATTGATAGGAAGGGGAAAGAAAAGAAAAAGAAATTGGTCCGATCTCATTAATATAATATGGAGGCGACACTCAAGAAGTGTCGTTGGTTGAGCTGGGCAGATATAATTGCCACAGCAGATGACCAACCTACCAAGATTATCATGTACCTAAAAATAATAGCATTTGATGATTCCTAGGATGACTATTAATTCATTCGCTAACCATTATGCATTGCATATCTCCACAAAAAAAATGTAAGTATTCAGTTCAACAATAACTTGGTATTTATTTATTTATTTTTTATTATTTCATTTTCAACTATTGTAATTTCAAATATTTTAATATTGTGCATTATAAACAGAATTTTAAAAAGGAAAATCAAGAAGGATTGTTATAATTAGATAGGAAAAAAAAATAATATAATTAAGACAAAAACTATATAATGTAATAGAATACAATAGGCAGTATGAGTGCAATATAATTTTATATTAATTATTTTTATTAAATTATTATCAATAATTTTTAAGTATTTGTACATTTTATTCAGTTTTGCCGAATTCCTGATTAATTTTCAGAACAACATTTTTGGTGAACAATTTCGATAACTTATTTAGTAAATTAAGTATATTTCTTTGCAATTTTACATTTTAAAATCTTCACTTCCCATATTACATGTTTTTCACCCAATTTGTAAATTACGTAAGATTGAAGAAAGATTGTTGTTTGCGCTATCAGCTTTATTTTCCATTTAACAACTCAAAGTCACTTGCACTATGTTATAATGTTTATTTGAATGTATATTGTTAGACTAGAAGCCAAAGCTTAGTCTTTTTCGCAACACTTTGATTTGTTTATTAAAAGTTTGACGCCAATTGCTACATTTTTTTCACGACAAGGATAGCTAATGAAGCGAAATGAAGATTTGAAGCCACCACTAAACCTTCTCACAACGAGAATAACTAAAACGATCGATCAGCTAAAGTTATGCGAAACAACTAAATAGCTGAAGCAGTCGGCCAATCAACGAACGCCTTTTACCGAGCGAGAGAGAGAGAGAGCTGCAAAAAGAGAGCGCTGTATTATAATTAAGACTAACAATATGCTATTTATATTAAGCCACGCAGGGCTCCAAATTCAAGCATATAAACAATTCATATTCCATTAGAAGTTCTTTGCTGCAGCTGCCAACAATTATAAAATGTAATAAAACAATCGATATATAACGTAAGGAGTATTAGTGCTAAACAAAAATATTCAATTATTTAATTATTAAATTCATTTTCTTATTTAATTTTTTATATATTTATTTATTTACTATTACTATTTATATATTCAAGTGCTTCTTTTTCGTTTATTTCGTTTAGATTGTTCATTTATTTCCGGCAGGCTATATTGATAGTGACTTCGATATTAAAGTGTTAGCATACTTTCAGACGGTGCTTTAATTTCAATTAGCATATTAAAAGCACGTTCAGCTTTAGCACGTAGATCTTTAAGGATAGTAATAAGCATCGGCTCATAGTATCTGCGATTAAAGTTGAGTGCTGAGTTTTTTTTTTTTTCCTTATCTATGATGGGTCTCTTATTCTAAGTTTAAGAGAGCTTTGCACGTAATTTTACACGACTTCACTGCATTTTTACACATTTTGAAATCGATGCATTCTTGCTGCCCACCA